ACAGGACGGCAGACGACAGGACGGCAGATGACAGGACGGCAGATGACAGGACGGCAGACGACAGGACGGCAGATGACAGGACGGCAGATGACAGGACGGCAGATGACAGGACGGCAGACGACAGGACGGCAGATGACAGGACGGCAGATGACAGGACGGCAGACGACAGGACGGCAGATGACAGGACGGCAGATGACAGGACGGCAGATGACAGGACGGCAGATGACAGGACGGCAGACGACAGGACGGCAGATGACAGGACGGCAGATGACAGGACGGCAGATGACAGGACGGCAGATGACAGGACGGCAGATGACAGGACGGCAGATGACAGGACGGCAGACGACAGGACGGCAGATGACAGGACGGCAGATGACAGGACGGCAGACGACAGGACGGCAGATGACAGGACGGCAGATGACAGGACGGCAGATGACAGGACGGCAGATGACAGGACGGCAGACGACAGGACGGCAGATGACAGGACGGCAGACGACAGGACGGCAGATGACAGGACGGCAGATGACAGGACGGCAGATGACAGGACGGCAGATAACAGGACGGCAGACGACAGGACGGCAGATGACAGGACGGCAGATGACAGGACGGCAGATGACAGGACGGCAGACGACAGGACGGCAGATGACAGGACGGCAGACGACAGGACGGCAGATGACAGGACGGCAGATGACAGGACGGCAGATGACAGGACGGCAGATGACAGGACGGCAGACGACAGGACGGCAGATGACAGGACGGCAGATGACAGGACGGCAGACGACAGGACGGCAGATGACAGGACGGCAGATGACAGGACGGCAGATGACAGGACGGCAGATGACAGGACGGCAGAGGACAGGACGGCAGATGACAGGACGGCAGATGACAGGACGGCAGATGACAGGACGGCAGATGACAGGACGGCAGATGACAGGACGGCGGATGACAGGACGGCGGATGACAGGACGGCACATGACAGGACGGCAGATGACAGGACGGCAGATGACAGGACGGCGGATGACAGGACGGCGGATGACAGGACGGCGGATGACAGGACGGCGGATGACAGGACGGCGGACGACAGGACGGCGGATGACAGGACGGCAGATGACAGGACGGCAGATGACAGGACGGCAGATGACAGGACGGCAGATGACAGGACGGCAGATGACAGGACGGCAGATGACAGGACGGCAGATGACAGGACGGCAGATGACAGGACGGCAGAGGACAGGACGGCAGACGACAGGACGGCAGATGACAGGACGGCAGATGACAGGACGGCAGATGACAGGACGGCGGATGACAGGACGGCGGATGACAGGACGGCAGACGACAGGACGGCAGATGACAGGACGGCGGACGACAGGACGGCGGACGACAGGACGGCGGATGACAGGACGGCAGATGACAGGACGGCAGATGACAGGACGGCAGATGACAGGACGGCAGATGACAGGACGGCAGATGACAGGACGGCAGATGACAGGACGGCAGATGACAGGACGGCAGATGACAGGACGGCAGATGACAGGACGGCAGAGGACAGGACGGCAGATGACAGGACGGCAGAGGACAGGACGGCAGACGACAGGACGGCAGATGACAGGACGGCAGATGACAGGACGGCAGATGACAGGACGGCGGATGACAGGACGGCGGATGACAGGACAGCAGATGACAGGACGGCAGATGACAGGACGGCAGATGACAGGACGGCAGATGACAGGACGGCAGATGACAGGACGGCAGATGACAGGACGGCAGATGACAGGACGGCAGATGACAGGACGGCAGATGACAGGACGGCAGATGACAGGACGGCGGATGACAGGACGGCGGATGACAGGACAGCAGATGACAGGACGGCGGATGACAGGACGGCGGATGACAGGACGGCAGATGACAGGACGGCAGATGACAGGACGGCAGATGACAGGACGGCGGATGACAGGACGGCGGATGACAGGACGGCGGATGACAGGACGGCGGATGACAGGACGGCAGATGACAGGACGGCAGATGACAGGACGGCAGACGACAGGACGGCAGATGACAGGACGGCAGATGACAGGACGGCAGATGACAGGACGGCAGATGACAGGACGGCGGATGACAGGACGGCGGATGACAGGACAGCAGATGACAGGACGGCGGATGACAGGACGGCGGATGACAGGACGGCACATGACAGGACGGCAGATGACAGGACGGCAGATGACAGGACGGCGGATGACAGGACGGCGGATGACAGGACGGCGGATGACAGGACGGCGGATGACAGGACGGTAGATGACAGGACGGCAGATGACAGGACGGCAGATGACAGGATGGCGGATGACAGGACGGCAGATGACAGGACGGCAGATGACAGGACGGCAGATGACAGGACGGCAGATGACAGGACGGCAGACGACAGGACGGCAGATGACAGGACGGCAGACGACAGGACGGCAGATGACAGGACGGCAGACGACAGGACGGCAGATGACAGGACGGCAGATGACAGGACGGCAGATGACAGGACGGCAGATGACAGGACGGCAGATGACAGGACGGCAGATGACAGGACGGCAGATGACAGGACGGCAGATGACAGGACGGCAGACGACAGGACGGCAGATGACAGGACGGCAGACGACAGGACGGCAGATGACAGGACGGCAGATGACAGGACGGCAGATGACAGGACGGCAGATAACAGGACGGCAGACGACAGGACGGCAGATGACAGGACGGCAGATGACAGGACGGCAGATGACAGGACGGCAGACGACAGGACGGCAGATGACAGGACGGCAGACGACAGGACGGCAGATGACAGGACGGCAGATGACAGGACGGCAGATGACAGGACGGCAGATGACAGGACGGCAGACGACAGGACGGCAGATGACAGGACGGCAGATGACAGGACGGCAGACGACAGGACGGCAGATGACAGGACGGCAGATGACAGGACGGCAGATGACAGGACGGCAGATGACAGGACGGCAGATGACAGGACGGCGGATGACAGGACGGCAGACGACAGGACGGCAGATGACAGGACGGCAGATGACAGGACGGCAGATGACAGGACGGCAGATGACAGGGCGGCAGATGACAGGACGGCAGATGACAGGACGGCAGATGACAGGACGGCAGACGACAGGACGGCAGATGACAGGACGGCAGATGACAGGACGGCAGATGACAGGACGGCAGATGACAGGATGGCAGACGACAGGACGGCGGACGACAGGACGGCGGACGACAGGACGGCGGATGACAGGACGGCAGATGACAGGACGGCAGATGACAGGACGGCAGATGACAGGACGGCAGATGACAGGACGGCAGATGACAGGACGGCAGATGACAGGACGGCAGATGACAGGACGGCAGATGACAGGACGGCAGATGACAGGACGGCAGATGACAGGACGGCAGAGGACAGGACGGCAGATGACAGGACGGCAGAGGACAGGACGGCAGACGACAGGACGGCAGATGACAGGACGGCAGATGACAGGACGGCAGATGACAGGACGGCGGATGACAGGACGGCGGATGACAGGACAGCAGATGACAGGACGGCAGATGACAGGACGGCAGATGACAGGACGGCAGATGACAGGACGGCAGATGACAGGACGGCAGATGACAGGACGGCAGATGACAGGACGGCAGATGACAGGACGGCAGATGACAGGACGGCAGATGACAGGACGGCGGATGACAGGACGGCAGATGACAGGACGGCGGATGACAGGACGGCGGATGACAGGACGGCAGATGACAGGACGGCAGATGACAGG